CCTCGGTCAGCCCTGTCACTGTCACCACACCATGACTGCAGGCTTAGAAGGCCCCAGCTGGGTGGAGGTGGCTTAGAGCCTCTGGGTGGGGGGAGTCCATAACAAACTGCAGGGCAGTGAACAGGCCTGCACATTTGCAGCCTCTCTTCCATCACTCCTCTTCCCCCTCCTATACCCTAGGCACTAGGTTATGGCGACTGTGGGTGGCAATTTCTAGTAAGAGTCTTACCTGGGCAGACAGAGGTACAGGGAGGTTCTCCAAGGATGCAGTTGTCTGCTCAGGACAGGACAAAGCAGGGGGTGTAGACTATCCACCAGAGAGACTCCTTCCCCACTCACAGGAAAAGTTCAAGCTACACTTGGGCTCTGCCCCCTCCCCCAGGCACTCAGTCCTGGCCCCAAGGAAACAGGAGCTCACAGGGGCAGATAAGAGAGGCCTGAGGGACGCACACCCTACAAGAGAAAGACAACAGACAAAACTACCTTATCTAGACACAACAGAGTTAATGGACTAGGCAGGACAGGAATTAAAAATAAACATTGTAAGTATTATTCTAAAAAACAGAAGAGAGGATTTTGGAAATATGAAGGTGAACAAGAAATTATAAAGAAGAATCAGCTATAGAACCAGATAAGAAGAACGTTGTAGGTGAAATAAATACGTCAAATGCTGGGGTGAATAGCAGAGTGGATATAGCCAAAGACCAAATCAGCAAGTATGAAGAGCAGGTTGAGGAAATTTCCTAAAAAGCATGAGAGGGGTATAGATAACTGAAAAGCAGAAGGCTGAGCCAGTGTTGTCTGAGGTGGGCTACCCTGGATGATATGGTGCATGATAATGACCAGGGGACCCCTTGGTCAGGGAGCCACTCCTGCACCTCTTCACTGTAAAGTGGTCCCCTCATCAGATGCTGTGTTGTTTGTGGCTACATCCTGTAGATTGGGCATTCTGCAATTCCCCCAGAGAGTCGTGAAAGAAAGAAAAAGGAAGGAAGGGAAGGAAGGGAGGGAGGGAGGGAGGGAGGAAGGAAGGAAGCTAGTCAGTTATAAAAGGGTTGAACAAAAGTAAGCCCTGGACCTTGGGAACAACTGTATCCAAGGATGCAAATAGCACCAGGACTCCAACTCCACCTTGTCTTCATTTTTCCTGCCCAACCTCAGCCTCTTTGATCTCAAACCTTCTTTACAGGCGGGCAAACAGCTGCCTACAGCTGGTACATTTTACGTCTGAATCCACGAGAGGGAGATTGACCTCAAGACTCTGGTTACCAAATTTAAGAATCCCATAGAAGAGTCTTCTTGGTCCAGCCTGATCCAAGTCATTACTCTTGGACTAATTACTTGTGCAAAGTGTCATATAAAACCATGGCAGGTCTTTGATTAATTCAGTCCTTAGGGCAACAGTTCTCAGGAGATGAAGACAGTTAGACAAATGTTTGCATAGCAGTCCGCTACATGTAGTACTTATCCTGGTGGAGACGGGGAGCCACTGAGGAATTTCAAGCCAAAAATGACATGGTCAGCTTTTCTTTTAGAAAGACTGCTCGGAAGCAACATGGAAGTTGGACTGTAAAAGGAAAGCCAGCAGTGCTTATTGTTATAATGTGATCTTTAACTGTAGAATTTCCTGGTGGGGTTATGACTGAAGAGGAGTCAATATCACCCAGAGATGGATATATTGACTGATGAGACTTTGTCTCCACTTTTGTTCAGAAGAAGGTAGAGTGACTTTGATTTTATGATGGATATTGCAAGTGTTAAGTGGAAGCACAAAGTTAAAAACGGATACAAGAGTAAAAAAGGATGCAAAGGGGCGGACTGTACTGGTCATTTGTCTGTTTACTCATGGCCCCATCCCTCGCCCTTCACCTGCTCTGCTCTGTATCACAGCAGGCTAACTCTTGCCAATTCCATTTCAAAGTTCCCCACTAACTGCATCCAGTTAGTTTCAGGTAATAGCAGCCAATGGCGGGCAAAAGGAGACTGGAAAGGGCTGGTCATAAAGGAGGAAGATCAAGAAAAGAAGCCGAGGGAGGAGCAAGTACAACTGATTCCATTGAGCAAACATTTGCTAAGCATGAACTCTGGGCCCTCCGCCTTATACTAAGCACGCTAGACTCCAAGATGAAAAAGTCTTGGTCACCACCCTCAAATGGGAGGGCAGGGCTGAGAGACAGTTGCAGGCAGAGGCTATGACCACACAGGGTGACTGGACTCCAGCTGAGAGACACAAGAGGATGGTCATCCACTGTGTCTCAGGAGGCAGGAAAGATAAGGCAAGGCCAAATGAGACCTTGAGGAGCCTTCCAGTCTCAAGAGATTAAGGTGCTCTCTTTTGAAATGACATAAAATTTATGTGAATGCCAAGATTAAACCCCTTAAAGAATTTTTTTTCTGACTGCAAAGTTCTGGATAAATGCACTGGTGCCAACTTTTCTCTTTGGGAGCCTTATGCTCCTGGCTCACCAGTGAGGTGATCCCAAGAAGTGTTCTGGAGCCCTGGCCAGGTTTTGAAAGGCACCTAGGAGCTTCCTGGGTATACTCATGGTAGAAACAAGTTTTGAGAAGGACTGGCCAGAGTGTGTGTGGGGGGGAAGGAAGGACACACCTTCCCCGATTCCAGTTTCCTCTTGGAGGTATTTACAGGGACTTTCAAACTATTTTTTATTACCACATGCCACAGTAAGAAATATTTTTTACATGGTGCCCAGTACAACACACACATACATGTCTAAAACAAAAGTTTCATGAAATGTTTTTTCCACTCTATTCTTTTCTATTCCATTTCATTTTATAGTAAAAAAAATATATAATTGCTACCCAGTAAATTGATTTCACAATTCACTGTGGTCTTTTTTTTTTTAAAGATTTTTTTTATTTTTTTCCTTTTTCTCCCCAAAGCCCCCCCGGACATAGTTGTATATTCTTCATTGTGGGTCCTTCTCGTTGTGGCATGTGAGACGCTGCCTCAGCGTGGTCTGATGAGCAGTGCCATGTCCGCGCCCAGGATTCGAACCAACGAAACACTGGGCCGCCTGCAGCGGAGCACGTGAACTTAACCACTCAGCCACGGGGCCAGCCCCTGGTCTTTTTTTTTTTGAGGAAGGTTAGCCCTGAGCTAACATCTGCTGCCAATCTTCCTCTTTTTGCTGAGGAAGACTGGCCCTGAGCTAACATCTGTGCCCATCTTCCTCCACTTTATATGTGGGATGCCTACCACAGCATGGCTTGCCAAGCAGTGCCACGTCCGCACCTGGGATCCAAACCTGCTAACCCCTGGCCCCCCCGAAGCAGAACCTGTGAACTTAACTGCTGCGCCACTGAGCTAGCCCCTATGGTCTTGAACCACAGTTTTGGTTGTTTTTGTTGGGCGGGGGATTGTCCCTGAGCTAACATCTATGCTAAACTTCCTCTATTTTGCATGTGGGATGCCACGATAGCATGGCTTGACAAGCTGTGTGTACGTCCACACCCAGCTTCCGGGCCTGTGAACCCTGGGTCACCAAAGCAGAGCACGCGAACTTAACCACTATGCCACCGGGCTGGCCCCTGAACCACAGTTTGAAACACAGAACTAGAGTCATACGCTGAGGTTCCCTCCCCAACCCTCACTCTCTTCTCCCCAGATGAGTGATTTGTTTGAATGGGGAGTTTGGGAGAAGGCAGCTGACGTGCTCTGGGCTCTCCTCCTGGCCCTGCCCATGTGCACAGAGGGTCGGTCAGGATGCTCCCTGCCTCCTGGGGAGGGCTCCAGCCCTGTAAGGTGAGCAGATGCCCACTAGGCAGTTTCTGTTCTGATTTCAGTACCTACCCCTTTCTGACTGGTGCCTGTGCCCTACTGGCTGTTAATATTCTTAAGACCTTTCCTGCCCTTGCTTGATTTGTTGTGTCACTGACCTGATGGGTAGTCTGTCTGTTTCAGGGGAAAGTATTACCAAGTCTATTTTAGCCCCACATCTAAGCCACTTTCTCTAATCCAGCATTTATTGACAAGAAAGGTGACATTTTTTTTTATCCATTTGGCTGTCTCCTTTGCCTTACTTCCCCATTAGTTCTAAACTTGGGGAGAGGAAGAGTTATTTATTAACCTGCTGTTATGGACTGAACGGTTGTATCCTCCCAAAATTCATTCATTGAAGCCCTAACCCCAATGTGATAGTATTTGGAGGTGGGGCCTTTGGAAGGTAATTAAGTTTAGATGAGGTCATGAGGGTGGGGCCCTATTACGGGATGAGTGTCCCTGTAAGATGAGGAAGAGAGACCAGATCCCTCTCCCCCTCCTCTCCCTCTCCCCCTCCTCTCCCCCTCCCCCTCCTCTCCCCTCCCCCTCCTCTCCCCTCCTCTCCCTCTCCCCTCCCCCTCCTCTCCCCCTCCCCCTTCTCTCCCTCTCCCCTCCCCCTCCTCTCCCTCTCCTCCTCCGTCTCCCTTCCTCCCACGTGAGGACACGGCAAGACGGTGGCTGTCTGTAAGCCAGGAAGAGGGCCGTTATCAAGCACCTGAATCAGCAGGCACCTTGATCTGGACTCTCTAGTCTCCACAACTGTGAGAAATAAATCCTGTTGATTTTCACCCAGTCTGTGGTATTTTGTTATGGCAGCCCCAGACGGCTAAGACATCTGCTAAGACCCCAACATTTAACAGTGCTAAATGGTACCCAGAGGTCAAGCAAGATAAGAACTAAGATGTTACAAATGGATTTACCAGCAAGGGGTTTGTCAGTGACCCAGGTGAGAGCAATTTCGCTGGGTGGGTGCAAGGACTAGGAAATACACAGATAGATATAGAAGTGGGGCAGAAATGGAAAGGAGAGAAAGGGGTGACCAGAGCAGGAAGCCAGTTTTCTGGAACCGGAGAGATCTGAGGATAACTCTGGGTGACTAGAAAAGAGCCCAGTGAGCCCCCCCTGGTCTACAAGATGGCTTGGGGTCTGACGATAAAACACACCCATTCACCCCACAGCCCCTCACGGCTCCTCCTCTGAAGTCCCTCAGGCCCTTTCTCCTACTCCTCCTGCTGGTGCTACACTTGGAAACCTTGGCAGGCACGGAAGACAAGATAGTCAAGTCTAAACACTCTGACTCCTGGCCCTGCCTGCTTCATCACCGTGCCCAGGACCCCAAGAGAGCAGAACCCCTGGGGTCCAGGAAGCAGCCAACGGAGGGTGGAGAATAGTAAGAGTCAGGGACCTGGGTTCTAGTCTCGCCTCTGCCGCTCCATAACCCGCCACCCCATAGCCGTGTGATCCCGGCTGTCTTGCCTCAATTTCCTGCCCGAGGTCTTGAGGGATGCCCAGGAAACAGATCGCTTGATTTTGAAAGCAGGCTGCACCAATGCACTCCGGTGCGATCTGGGCCTCGCTTTTCCCCTCTCCGGGGCACTGGTCTAAGGGGTGACCGAGAAGAGCCGTGAGCTAACCCCTTGGCACACAGCAAGTGCTCGGCAGATGCCAACACCACGGCCTCCCGTCCTGTCCAGGTACAGCCTCCAGCTGCCCACCGCACCTTGCAGGGGGGCAGGGCGGTCTCTGCGCTTCGGCTGGCGCCCCCTCTCCCGCCGCCAGGGCGCGGGCGGCCTGTCGCGACAGCGGCGGTGCATTGTGGGGCTTGTAGTGCGGGCTGCGCTTGGGTGGGTGGCTGGGTGGGCGCGGCCGCGGCACTCGCTGCGGGGCCATCTTCGGTGGGCCGGCTGGCTCGGCCTGTGCAGCTTGCACCCGCGCCCTGCGCCCGGCCCGATGGCGCCTCGGCCGCTGAGCCCCTTGGTGCTGGCGCTGGGCGGCGCCGCGGCCGTGCTGGGCTCGGTGCTCTTCATCCTCTGGAAGGCCTACTTCGGCCGCGGAAGCGAGCGGCGCTGGGACCGGGGCGAGGCCTGGTGGGGCGCGGAGCCTGCCCGCCTCCCCGAGTGGGACGAGTGGGACGTGAGTGTCGCGCCAGGGTCTGCGCCTCAGCGCGCGCGCGGCCGAGGGCTGTGATCACGGCTCGGCCAGCGCCGGGAGGGCCTGGGTCTGGGCTTGGCGCCGCAGCCCGTAGGCCCCGCGCGGCGGCCGGGCAGTCGTGAGCCGTGGAACCGCGGCACGGGTGGGCGTTTGGGGGGAGGGACGCCGCCGCGGGCGCCGGAGCTCGGAGGGCGCGGCCCGGGAGCGATGTGGGGCCCGCGCTGGTCCAGCCCCGCCGCCCGGCGCCTGCGCAGTGCGCGTGGCCCGGGGGATGCCGGGAGAGGCCTCGGCCCCCTCGAGGGCCGGCGGCAGGCGTGCGGGTGTCCGTGTCGCCGTGGTTTTTGCGGGCCTGGGACGTGGGGATTGTCAGTCTGAGGAGGCAGAGGTTCCGCAAGAGGAGGGAATTTGCCCCAGGTCCCTCAGGGAAAGCCAGAGAACGGGGTTTGGGATTCAGGACTCCGAGGCGGCGCCCCTCCCACTGCACGAGCCCGTGCCTGCCTGCCCCTTGCGGGTGGAGGGCGGGGATGGGCGCTTCGATGTCTTCGGTCTTCCCTCGGGAAGGGTGGGGCGGGAGGTGCGGGCCACAGCCTGACCTGTGTCCCACAGCCCGAGGACGAGGAGGACGAGGAGCCGGCGCTGGAGGAGTTGGAGCAGCGCGAGGTGCTGGTGCTGGGGCTGGATGGCTCCGGGAAAAGCACGTTCCTGCGCGTGCTGTCTGGGAAGCCACCGCTGGAAGGCCACATCCCCACCTGGGGCTTCAACTCCGTGCGGTTGCCCACCAAGGACTTCGAGGTGGACCTGCTAGAGAGTGAGCAGACTTCCCCACAGACACCATCTCCCCGTCACCTCAGTTGCCCCAAGCCGGGGCTCTTTGCCTGGGGGTGGCTCCAAAATGCCTGTCTAAGCAGGACACGCACCTGTATGAAATCTTCCCACCCTCCCTGGGGCACAGGATACAGTCTAGACTCTGTATTCTGACCTGGAGGACCCTTCAACATCAGGCGGCTCCAACTTGGTTGCCACCTGTCTGACCCCGTGGAAGCCCACGTGCCTAGCACTGAGATACTAACAGCTCAAGTTTCCTGTATGTCAAGCACTTGACAGTCATTAGCTAATGAAATGCTCCCAACGACTCCATAAAACTGGATACGGTTATTATCCTCATTATATACATGAGGAAACTGAGACTCAGCAAGTTAAAGAACTTATGCAGGCTCACCCAGCTTGCCAGTCTGCTAATACAGACTCTCCAGCGCTAGGCTGTCAGCGTTAAGCACCATGCTCCATTGCTTGTTTCTGAAGGGCGCTTTCTTACCTGCCGCCCTTTGCTTGCACTGTTCCCTCAGTCTGGAAAGCCCTTCTTCCCTTGATAAACTGTTACTCATCCTTTAATATTTAGGTCAGACATGATCTCTCGGTGAATACTTCTCTGACCCCAAGGCGGGGTTAAGGGCTCCTCCTCTGGGCTCCCCTTCTGCTGCAGTATTTGCCACATACCAGCTTGTGTCCCTGACTACGCATCAGGGGCACAGACAGATCTGATCCAGCTAGTGCCCACCCCCTAGCAGGCACCTGGGAGAGCTTGTTGAGTGAGTCGTCCGATAGGGTGTAGGCAGCCCCCTGCCCTCAGTGTTAGGCTTCCTGGGGTCCTGGGAGAGGATGGCAGAGGGTATAGAGGGGGCAGCAGTGCTTAGCCACCTGTGTTCAGACACCGACTCAGTGAGGAGAGACAGGTGGGCTTCCTGCCAACCAGAGGACTCAGACCATAAAGACTGGGTGCGTTTAGTTAAGTGCTAGGTGGCGAGATCAGACTCTGAGGGCCTGGCTGTTGGCCTGAATGGGCCTAGTTCCTCTGGTCTCAGGCACTTGCCTGCTGGCCTGTCCTGGCTCCATCATTCCTCTCTGATTGTAGCAAACATTGATATTCACCTGGGATTCTGTCCTTTCCACAGGCTTACCTTGTCTCGTGCCGGGACACAGAAAGGTCAAATGGGGGTTCTACACTTGAGGCCCACTCTGTCTGGCAGACAACACCCCCCTTCCCCAACGCTGGGAGAAGGGGTTTGGTATTTTTATGTTACCCAAAACCAGTAACAATCCAGGCTCAGTAGGGTCACTCAGCCAGGATTCAAACCCACCTCTCCCATCGAGTGCAGGGGCTTTCCCCTCCCACAGCACTCACCTGGCTGTGGTCTGCTACAATGCCTGGCCTGGGGTGCAGCTGAGAATGGGCCCTTTGTGGATCTTTGATGACTCTTCCCTTCCCCCCACCTCTTAGTCCGTTTTATTAGGTAGTTCTGTCAGCTTTATCCTCCAGTAAATTGTGTCTGTCCACTTCTTGCCAGCTCCACCCACTGCCTGCCTGGTCCAAGCCTCCATCATCTCTCAGTACTGCAGCAGCCTCCTCACTGGTCTTGCTTCCACTTCTGTCCCCAGTGTCAGTCATCGGTATCTTTCAGGAACCCACGTGAGATCATGTCACTCCTTAAAGGGCTCCCCACAGCCTCACTGTGGCCATACGGGCCCTGTGTGGTCCAGCCCTGGGGAGCCTTGCCAGTCCTGGCTTCCTCCTCTCTCTCTCTGGCAGTGCCTCAGCCACCCTGGCCACCTTCTGTTTCTCAAACACATCGAGCTTGCTCTTCCCTCTCCTGTGATGCTTTCTCTGCCTTTTCCCATGGCTGGCCCCTTCTCATCATCCCGGACTCAGCTCATATGCCATCTCCTTGGGGAGAACTTCCAGACCACCCAATCCAAAGCCACACCCCCTCCCCCCCGCCAGCCACTTTCATTTTTTCTGTTTTATTTCCTTCCTTTCTGAAATGTGTTTATGTGTTATTGCTGTGTCCATCATAGTTACAGAGGGAGCTCCTTGAGAGCAGGGTCCCTGCCTGCCTCTGTATCCCCAGCACCCAGGTCAGCGCTTGGCACCTCGTAAGCACTCAGTAAATACTTGTTGAGTGCCTGCTGTGTGCCAGGCATTGTGCTGAGGGCTTTGGGGGGATCCAGAGGTAAACAGCTCTAACTCTCAAAGAGCTTAGAGCTTACAAGTGTCAAAGTATCACCAGAAACACTAGGATGCAGGGTGACCAATGGGGACTGTGCAGAGGAACAGGAAGGCCACCCCACTTGGGCATCCTACATGGGCAGCCATGTGGTGGTAGGATTGAATATGGCATTTCCAAGGAAAGAAAATGGGGTGACCAGACTGAACAAGAGAGACCGAACGGAGAAGGGCTCTGCACAGGCAGGGTAGGGAGTCCTGGCTCATGACCACAGCCCCACTGACCCGGGACGAAGCTAGGAGTTGGCAGGAGGCAAGGCAGCCCAGGAGAAAGAATTGGAGAGTACTATTTATAGTGCACCTGCCTTACACCACTCCTCTGAAAGGTGTGTTGCATGTGGTACCTTTGGCTTTGTTGCAGCCTGTTAGATAAATCCAGTGAGGAGGAGACTGATGCTCTAAGGTAGCGACTTGCCCAGGGAGACCCAGCCTCAGAGATAGAACTAAACCCAGGTCTAAGTGGCTCTGGAACTTGTGGTCTTTTCCTTGCCCTTGGCTGCTGGAGCCCTGGCATGCTGAAAGTGGGGTGGGGTTGGGGCTATGTATAGAGAGCCAGGGCCCAGGGAGGCTCTGAGCTGGCCCCTGGCCTCTTCTCAGTCGGTGGCAGCCAGAACCTGCGCTTCTACTGGAAGGAGTTTGTGAATGAAGTGGACGTGCTGGTGTTCATGGTGGACTCGGCTGACCGGCTGCGGCTGCCCTGGGCCAGGCAGGAGCTGCACAAGCTGCTAGACAAGGACCCTGACCTGCCTGTCGTCGTGGTGGCCAACAAGCAGGTGAGGGACGCGGGAGGCTGGCTTAGGCCAGTGGAGCTGGACCCAGATACCTGGGCAGGGGCAGGGAGCACTGGAGAGGGATTCCGGCCCAGGCCCAGGACCTGGAGCGCTTGGTCACCTCTTCTACCTGTGCTCTTCCCTCCTCTCTAATCCTCATTCTCTGTCTTCCCCTTTGCCTCCCTGTCATCTGTCATCCTGGAGAAATGAGAAAAATATTAAGTATCCACTGTATGCCAGGTGTGGTTTTGAATGACATTTTATATTCTACTTCTGTTGACCCTCCAAGGTATGGGATATTACTCCCATTTTATAGACGACGAATCTGAAACTTGGAGAGATTTTGTCGTCTCCCCAAGGTTGACCACCTTGAAAATAGTGGAATTGGGATCTGTGACTCCAAAACCCTCGTCTTTTCCACTCTGCTATGTCTTTGTGACTTCTGGCTCTAGATCAGAGAGCTAAAGCTGGGAAGTGATGAGAAGTTGGGCAGATTAAATAATAGTAATAATTAACATTTTTGTTTGCTTACAGTGTGCCAGGCACAATGCCAAGCACCTGACAATCATGACCTCGCTTCAGTCCTACAGAAACCCCATGATAGGCCTCGCTGTTATTCCTAAATGCCCAAAGTTTCAGCTGCTATGTGGCAAAACCAGGACTTGAACTCAGATCTTCCTCAAAGTTCCTGCTCTTAACCAGTGCACTGTACCTATATACCCTATACCTATACCTCTCCTGGGTGCCAGAGAGGTGTCTTGGGCCCAGCAGCCCTCGGCATCACAGACCTAAGGTGCCACCCTCAATACCAGGTGAAACTCTGCCACAGTACAGAGACCTGTCATATTTCCTGTGACCTGTGCCCATGTCCCTGAGAGCCATGGGACATGTTCCAACCGGCTTGGAGAGAGGCTGTATGTCTTTGACCTCAGATTCCCTCTGCCTATCAGGAAGTACTTGACAATCATTTATAAATGGGTGACCATATGTCCTGGGCTGCTTGAGACAGCCCCCATTGATGCCTATTGCATAATTATTTGGACAATGAATTACATCATCCTATTTATAAACTATAATTTATAGCAGTTTTGATTCTGCTGGAGACAACACGTAAGGTCCCAGCATTCTATGAATTGTTCCAAGAAGAAACATTTTCATCTTGGGCTAGAGTTGACATTAAAATGTACCCTCACCAGCCATGCTCTGTAGTGGCCTCTTTTCCTTGTCCAGTGTCTGGTTGTCTGGGGGAGGTCAGGCCAGTGTCTGGAAGTGACCCTGCTGTAAGCTGTCTCTTCTCTTGAGTTTAGGAAACTGAGCTAGGATTCCTATTAGGGTCATAAGCTTGGTCTTCAAACCAACCTGAGTTTGAAACCTGGCTCTGCCACTTAGCGCTGTTTCCTTGGCTAAATGACTTTACCTCCCTAAGCCAGTTTCCTCCTCTGTTCAGTGTAGACCATGAGAATTAAATAAGACTAAGTGCCTGTCACCAGGCCTCACGTAGAGGAGTACTGTTTCTTACTACACTAGCTGATGGTGGGATGAAAGAGGTGGTACAAAGCAGAGTCAGAGATGAGGAAGAGGGTATAGACCAAGGGGCCCAGAGGCCGCTTCTGGGAACTTAGACCCCAGTGTTCCCGAGGGTAGCCGAAGAGCAGTTTATTTCATGGATGGCAAGGGTCGGTGTTGGGAAGCACTGTCGGCTCTGTTCTGACTGGCTTCTCTGTTTCACCCCAGGACCTGAGTGAGGCCATGAGTATGGTGGAGCTGCAGCAGGAGCTGGGCCTGCAGGCTATCAATAGCCAGAGGGAGGTTTTCCTCGTGGCAGCCAGCATTGCTCCTGCGGGACCCGGCTTTGAAGACCCTGGCAGCGTGCAAATCTGGAAACTGCTCTTGGAGCTTCTCTCCTAGGCTGGTGCCCACCTGCTCACTGCCTGGCCCTGGAACCCGAGTGCTGCTGCTCCTGCTTCTTCACTGCCAGCCTGGGCCTGGGGCAGGAGTCACGTGGCAGCACGTCCCCTCTCCCCTCCTTGCCCTCTCAAGAGCAGGGCCTGGGCAAGGCCAAGAACCGCACAGAAGCCTTCCTGGTGAGGAGGCAGAGGGCGGGAGAGGATAGTGCCTGGCTCACTCAGGGCTGGAAGTGGACGTGGCTTTCACCAGTGGCACCCTCCTTCCCTGACCTGTGCTGTGAGATGCTCGGTGGGCTCAGTTCTCCCCTCCCTGCAGGTCGCGGTGGTTGAGGACCAGGATAGGCGTCAGAAGTAGTCTTTGCCTAGACAGGTCCCTCCTGGTGACTTCACGCCCCTCTCATGCAGGCAGGTTCTGAGCAGTAAGCAGCGAGCCCCAGCTCCCAGTCCTGCATTGTCCTCCAGCCCCAGCTCTGCCCAGCTGGCTCATGGCCTAGTGCAATCTCTGCCTCTCTGGCCCCGGGAGATGATTTTTTAAAAGGAGGTGATTTCTGTGTTTTTTTCTAACTTGGAGATTCATTTCCCAGCCATGAAGATGAGTGCTAGGATGAACCTGGACATCCTTTCTGAAACCTCCCTGCCTCCCGCTAAGCCAAAGCCTGACCCGCCAGCCTCTCCTGACCACAGAAGTGGTATTCACCCCTAGTCAGAACAACTGAGGGCTTTCCCCCGCGATTTGGAGACAGAAGCTGCTGTTCTTGTACTAACTGTGCCAATGCCCATGTTTACAATAAGTCTGGGGAGGGAAGGAGCCGGTGGCACTGGGAAGAAGACCATCACCCCGAGCTGGGCATTGGCCTCAGAAGTGCATTTTAGTTATTTATTTATTTATAAAAGGAACAGGCCAGAGTTTTAGGCTCTGTTTCTAGGTGCTGTTATCAAAACCCCAGATGACTGTCATTGAAAATTTGGATCTTTTCGGAGACTAGCTGGAATCATGAATGAAATGGGATGACCTACATGTGTCAGTGGAGACAAGGCTCTAGGGTCCCCCACCCTTTGTGGCTGTGATTAATGTCATGATGCTTCCCCGTGATCCACATGAACTTAAAACCCCAGCCCTCGGCCCAGTGTGTCAAAGGGACACAAACCTCTCTGTGTTGGTTACAAATGACTGGAAGAGGAAATTTCAATCATGTAAATCCAGGTACAAAGAAATGGCAGTTAGCACACCAGCCAACGGGCGGTCTGGGGTACGTCACTCAGCCTTTCTAAAGCTGTTGGTTCCCCAGCTAAAGCAAAGTTGGGCAGGATTGCTGATGTTCTCTCCAGCGCATAGTCCCTGATTCTCCTGTGTCAGCGACCAGCCAGTTTAAGGACTGTCTCTCTAGTGACACTTCTCTTTAGTGCAGGCAAAAGAAGGAGCCTTTTGTTTGTCAGGGGCCACCGAATAATCAACAGCTACAAAGGGAGTTTAGAGGAGATGTCCAGCTCAGTTTGCTTTTTCACTGAGAGCAGAGATTACGTGCCTTCGTTTCATTCCACATTTACTCAGTGTGCTTCAGTTCCAGCTCTGGCTGGTGCGAGAAGAGGCATAGGGAAGAAAGTGGGGCAGGAAGCTCCCGGAGTCCAGAAGTGAGCGGGATAATTGGAAGAGGAGTCTGCTGGGCTCTGAGCTGTGGGTGTATCAGAATAGATTCACTTTCTTTGAAATTCTCACTTTCTGCATTAAGTGATCTGTCTGCTTTTATTTTAATTATTTAAGGAATGCCTTGGGTTTTAGAGTAGACTGAAATTTTGCTGACAGCTCTTCATTTTGCCACTGGAAGGCTGAGAAACTGTCCTGTGTTCTCTGAACCCCACCTTGTTCTCCAGTGCTGGAAAGTTACCTGTGGAAGCAGCAGGGGTGAGGGGACTGTGTTCTTCTAATTCAGTTCTGCCCTTGGTCTAATGAGTATCATTATGCAGTACAGTTTTTAACGTCTCCACTTGGGGGAGGTGAACTTGAATAAAGAGGTTAACTGTGTCTACTCGAGCTACTTTTAAAGACCACTCAGAACCGACAGGTCCCAGTGGCACCCCAGGAGACACACACCGCTGAAGGGCACTGAAGGTCCAGAGTGCCACCACTCTGATACTTGGACAGAATACGGACATTCTACTGGTCTGCAGGTTTGCCCCACCACATGTGTGGCTGACAGCTGCACTCCTCCGGTGGGGCTGCTGGCCTTTCCTCCAGGCAGAGTGCCAAACAGTGCTCATCTGCTCTGGTTTCTACCAGGCCCAGGCTGGGCGAAGTGGGGGAACAGCCTTTCTTAAAAACAGCTAACTGCCTGGCCTTGTGGTGCTCTTACCCAGTTGCTGCTGAATGTGACTTTCTGATTCAGGAGCCCAGATAACTGCCTTTGGGAACCAGCGGTGACCTGGAGCTCTTCACCTCAAAGCGAGGTTCCTGAGGTAGCCTGGGGTGACCCTGTTTTCCCCCACTGCCCTGACTCTACAGCTCCAACCTACCTGAGCTTGGGAACGGGCAGTGTTGTCTGGGCAGCTCTCATATTCTAATGAAGAAGGCAGAGGGAAGGCTCTGGATCTGAGAGCAGGTGGGCATCGCAGTGCCCACTCTTCTCGTGGGAGGGAAGCCTCTGCTGCTTCTTGCCTGTTGAACCTATGCCTGGATCACTCGCCCTGGCACTGAGGCCTTCTGTTCTTACGAGTTATTTAAATGAAACCATGGCTTCTGATTTCCCATTCTCCGGCCTGTTGCCAAACCTTTGAGGAGAGGCCAGCCTGGCCCAGAGCTTGGACATGTGGATGGTCTGGGCAAGAGGGCTGTTGAGGCTGCTGGGACCACCTTGGACTGGCTGCTGATCCTAGGAAGCCTCCTCTGGCACCTCTTAGTGCCCGGAGCTGCTCGTCGTAAGCTTGCACTAACGCAGTGCTAGCCAGCTGTGAGGACTGGGGAGTGGGGGAAGTCGGTCCCTCACGGCCTCTCGGTCCTCCAGAGAGCTGCGGATGAAAATCTCATGACTCTGGCCCACCTGCCTAAATGAAACACCAGATTGTCCAAAAAACATTTCCACTTGCCTTTGGAAAACATGCTCTTATGCCAGTGTAGTAGCAACTGCCAGCATTTCTAACCAGCTGCTGAAACGCTCCATCCTTGCACAGCTGCCCCAGACCTCAGACGTGGGATAGTCTGAGCAGCCTGCCTCGCGTCTGCTGTCTGCTCACACATCCTCAGGTCCTGTCCAGTAGCTATGAAAAGGAGAACCTCCAGCTTTTCCTCGTCTGCTGCCTTCAGGAGATGGGCCCATTCAGGGACAAGGTGAGGATTCCCATCAGATCTGGAAGTAAAGGGGGCTTGCGGTCCCAGCCCGTGCCCTGCAGACCCAGGCCCACAGGGTCGCCAAGGACAAAGGGCACAAAATGGAGTATTGGCAGTTGTTTGAGGTACACAATAAATGCCAAAATAAATGCTCGGATGTGGTTTCGTTTGAATTCTGATTTTGAGGAGTATGTGCGGGTGCTTACAGTCGCAGTGAGGGGCAGCTGTGGAGGGCGGTCCCGGAACACTTCCCGTGACAGTCTGTCAGACAGCAAGGCCCAGTCCCCTGGCCCTTCAGCCCACATCGGGGTGGAGTGGTAAGGAACATCAGCTTTGGCCTAACTCAGTACCTTTTGGGAGGTATCCAAACTCTTCTCCCACTCTTTGGGAGGACTTCTAGCTGATGGGGTCAGAGCTAAGGCGTGGAAATGGGAGCAAGAACGTCTTCTGACGGTCTCCAGGCCAGAGCCAGGATGGAGGCCACAGGGCCATGCAGTCAGCCGTTCCACAAGCATTCCCCCAGCACTTGCCTGGGGCTGGACTCTGGATTCCCAGGCAAGGTCCCCACTCAAGCCCAGTCTGAGAGGGGGTGTCAAGCAGATTAAAAGGCCATTATGACTGATAGGAAGTGCTACAGCCAAGTCTGGGGTGTGGGGACTACAAGACATGTAAACAGCCTGGGGGCAGGGAATAGTGGTAAGGCAGCCTTCCTAAAATTGGCACCTGAACTAAGGGGCCAGCCTGGTCAAAGACCTGAATTTGGGATGTTGCGAAGGAGAGAAGCTATGAGGCCAAAGAACGAAGGCCCTCAGGAGCTCTGCGGCAGACTACATCCTGACGTCTGTGCTCGCAGGGCTTAGTGGCCAGTCTCTGCTGGAGTCTCAGCAGGCTGGTCCACCAGGGGAGGACTTCCGGGAGCTTCACAGCATGTCCAGTTTCCAGCCGGCCTCAATGGTGTGGGAAGGATGGGCTTCCTCTGGGGCCAGAGGCCAGGGCAGTGAGCGAAAGCTAGGTTTACTTGTTGACAGACTTGACTTCCAACCCATTAACAGCTCCCAAGCCTCAGTTTCCTTACCTGTAAGATGAGGATAAAACCACACACCTACAAGGTTTTATGTGAAATAATCTATGTAAAAACACTAAGCCTTTCTTTTCAAGAGCAGTGACAAGACATATTTTAGGTGCTACTAGAAGTCAGGAACAAGAGAGTTTTTGTATTATTAATAGTTGAGGATAAAGTATCAAAACTTAAGAAAATACCCAATGCCCACTGCACACCCTGCCTGTGACCCTGCTACTGAACAGTCGTCACTGCCTCCTCACATGCCACCAAATCAGGCAGGCCTGGCCCCAGAGAATGGCCGGGCAGTGTGCAGCCCAGGGCTTGGCACACAGTAGCGTGGCATTTAGCAGTCCACTGGACAGTCTCAGAAAGCAGGTTTGGGGGCCTCGGGCTCCGTTCAGGGCAAGGCCAACACAAGCAACCTGAAGACGAGCAGCGAGGGCAGCTCACTTGAAGGCAGACCAGGAGGCAGCCGTACAGCTCCTTACCCTCTGCCACTCAAGCCACGGCTGGCCTTAGGCTAGGGCCATGGAGAACCAGTCCAGCAGCCTCCAGCCTAGGGGTGGGGCTAGCACTGGCAAGGCAGGCCCCTTCCAAGCAGCCCAGGGTTCCCGGCCGGCTTCCGTAGATGGGTTCATGGAACTGCTATGCAGGAAACCAAGGCATTAATACTATTAATAATACAAAAACTCTCTTGTTCCTGACTTCTAGTAGCACCTAAAATATGTCTTGTCACTGCTCTTGAAAAGAAAGGCTTAGTGTTTTTACATAGATTATTTCACATAAAACCTTGTAGGTGTGTGGTTTTATCCTCATCTTACAGGTAAGGAAACTGAGGCTTGGGAGCTGTTAATGGGTTGGAAGTCAAGTCTGTCAACAAGGCAGAGGGGAAAGGAACCAGAACGGGAAAAGAGGAGGGAAGCTCCATGCAGGGCACGGGAATGTGGCCCATCGAGGGCTGGACGGCCTCCCTAACCCGGCTGCGTTAGCTGGTTTTTGAGGGGCAGCACCAGTGCTTGGCTGGGAGGGGCAAATAACAAAACCATCAAGAAGTACAATAGCTTTGTTTTATTATGTACAGACTACATTCAAACAAACCAGCCACTCTGGGAACAGCAGGTGCTAGATTTTCCCAGAGCCCTCAGAATGTAAACTGGAGCCTCTGGGAGACAGTTCCTTCCCCAGAGAGGGGAGTATGAGAGTGTGTGTGTATACGCTTTTGATTCCATGAGGTTTGGCCAGCCTCATCTGTAGCCACACACCCCTCCTTGCCTTAAACCCTGGCTCCAGCTTCTCTGGTCCAGGAGGAGGCCTCAGCCTGGGGCAGGCGTAAACCAGTCATTCAACCTCCATCTTATTCTTCTGCAAAGAATCGACAAAGGCTTGCCACTCTGCTGGGTAAAAACGTTTATAGACGTTGATCTTATTCCGAATCTGTTTTGGGGTATCTTGATAATAATTCTTCTCATCCCGGGCCATAGCCTAAGGAAGGAGAAGGGTCACTTGAGGAGGGTTGGACAGGCAACGGTACCAATCCTAGCTTTGCCTGAGTTGGGCAAGCCACTTCCAGTCCCTGAGGTTCAGATTCCTCACTTCAAAAGCCCTGGAGTATGTGGGGAAATGGATGCAAATGCCCTCAGGGAGCAGGCAGGAGCTGGGGCCAGCTGAGCAGCTCACGCTCCATCCTCAGCCAAGTGATCCTACCTGGGCGCAGCGTAGCCAGATCGTCGAATTTTAAGAGAAGCCAACAATATGGACTTTTATTCGAAACTTCCCATAATTAAAACGGCAACTAGTTCAAGTTCTTTAAAAATACCAAGCAAGCAAAACAACATCTGTGAGCAGACAGGAACCACAGGCCTCACAGTCTATGCCAGCTGTAAGCATTCTGTCAATGGCATCCATTTCCTAATCTTCCTTTCCTCCCTTTGTTTCCACTCAGTCTCAGGAAACAAGCTCTAGGCAAGCAGATCAGACCCCGAATGGTCCCGGGTACCTTCCCAGTGGGCGTGCCAGGCCTGGCCACTCACCTTATAGTCCTCCCCGTGGTTCTCCACCATGTAGCGCACATAGTCAATAAGGTCCCGAGACAGTGTATTTCCTTTCTTTTCTGGGAGGCTGGCTTCTGCCTCCAGGTCTGGGGTGAGAGAAGCCAGGAGACAGGAAATGAGGCTTTGCTTTCTGCACTATGTGAGCTGCCCAGTCACCCCTTCGCCCAATCCCAAGCCACAAGAGTTGCTACACCAGCCATGTGATGGGCTTTGCCTCTCCATACTCAAATTCAGTGCTAGAACCTTCCTTTTCAGCTCCTCAGATCCCAGGCTCTGCCTATGACACAAGCATGTGGCAACTACCTGAAAGGCAAGGCATCTCTCATTGGCCTCAGATGAGTCAAAGGAAGGCACCAAACAAATCATCTATTTAGCGCCAGAGCCTGGGGAGAGAGATGAAGATACACTGCCTGCCCACAGGGCAGGGCTCCCTTCCAGCTCTAAAACTCTCTGAGAACCTCTTTTCTAGAGGTGTTACAAGAAGTAAAATGGAAAGGCCTAAATAAAATGAGAACTGGAGCTGCAGGAAGTAGGGCCTGAGCCTGGGGCCAAGCACCTCTCTGCTCTGTGTGAGGGGAAGAGCCAAGCTGTGGAGGCAATAATGGCTTCACTTTCAAACAGCTGGGAAATACTCCCCACTTCTCATCTATAAAGGGAGGAAAATAGCTCACAGAAACGAGGTAGTCAAAATTATCCAAATATATGCTGAAATTGTTGATAGTCAAAATTACCTCTGACGTGGTTGCCAGGGGCTGGGGGAGGGGAACGGGGAGTTGCTGTTTAGCAGTTTGTTTTGAAGACGAAAAGTTCTGGAGATCTGTTGCACGACAATGTGAATATACTTAATACTACTGAGCTATACATTTTAAAATGACGAAGATGGTAAATTTTATGTAATGTGTTTTTTACCACAGTTTACAATTTTAAAAATTAAAAGTAAAACTTTCAAAAATTAGCTCTGACTACAGTAAGTACACATGATTTTGTATGCAATCTTGTGCAGTAATTCTTGTGAGAATCCCTGAGACAGACTAAAGACAGGACTCAAGGAATGCTGGATCAAATGTCTGGCCATTCAAATCCTTTAACCTGCAGGAGAACTGTTAAAAATCTCAGACAGGTAGGAGGAAAGACGGGTGGAGAATTCCAGAGTATTCCTGCTTCCCTGCAAAATGTACTCTCTTCTATTTTAATATTCAGTCTCTATAGCCTTAATATACATGAAATTGATTTGTCATTGGTAAGATTAAATGAGATGCTGAAATCCCTGAAATTCTGCTCTTCCTTAGATTCATGAGAAGCTAAACGCGTGCCTGAGACTTAACGGTTTCTTTTCTATCCTCTCAGGCACCTGGCTACATCCTTCCTGAACATCTCTGACCTCACTTCACACACCTGGAGTTTAGCCAGTAGACTGAAAATGTCCCAGCCAGGGACACAGTCCTAACTCTGTGAGCCCTGGACCAGCTCACTTCTCCCCTCTGAACCTCAGCCTCTCCATCTGTAAAATGAGGACATCCGAGGGCCCTTTCCAAGCCCTGACCTAGAGGAATGTGACCAGCACCCACCATTTAGTACATAGGGCTTCCGCACCAGCTCCTTAGGCCTCTCTTCTACGTCCACCTCCATGGCCTTCACCTGCAGAGAACAGAGCCTTGAGACCACTAGACAAAGGAAGGATCCTGGATGAGGGAACACTCAAGAGGCTCCTGCCCATCCCAACACAATGGCACTACCCTTAAGAATCCCTATACAGGGTCAGGCAGGAATAGCTGACATGGAGAACAAATGCCCTGGAAGCTCATGGTTTCCAAAAGAGACTCAAGCAAGCAATTCATTTTTCTGAGCTTATCTACAAATGAGGATAATACCCCTTGCCTGCTCCACTTTGTTGTGTGATAATCGAATGAAACAATACACATGAAAAGTGTTTTATAACTTACAAGGGGAAGATGTCAGATTTCTTCTCTATGGGGAGGAGCAACCTGACAGTGCTTGGCTGTAGCTTGACATTTATTCAAGAAACGGAAGTGCCATTTTCCT